AGGTCCAGATTCCCGGCGGCTTTGCCTGAAGGCATGACAGAGCTCTGCTGAGCTGCTTTCCATTCTACCCGATCCATGTCATTTGTATTGCAATTTTTACGGGAGAGCTTTATTTTACCTTTTTGTCATCTACATAAATGATCCATTATTTTCTACTTCAAAATATGCTTTGCAATTTGTGCCGCACCATTTGAAGTCTCCCTCTGTGTGTTTCTCCATTCCCAAAGTGCAGGAGACCCCGGACTAGAGAAACGGAAGGGTTGAGCCATCCTTCCGTTAGGGAGCATGTCCTTGACTGCAATGCGGGTTTACTCTCCAATGACTAGCACCTCTAGCATGCTTCCATTTTCTTATCCCAGAAACTTGTAATGAGTATACAGTAATCAATGTCAGAGAACGTGGTGCTCATGCAGCCCTTCTCACGCCGACCTCCACTGAATACCAGTTCTTAGCATCTGCAAGCGAAGCGCCCAGATGTTCTGTCCTTTCGAAGCCCATAGGAAAGGTTATTTGCCCTTTTTTCAAACAAGCAAACAAACACACATAAATAAATATTTAGGAGGAGTCTAATATGTCTTTAGGGGCCCTGGTGGCATGGTGGTTACCCATTGGGCTGCTGACTGCAAGATTAGTCGTTCAAAACCACCAACCACTCTGTGGGAGAATGACGAGACTTTTTACTCCTGTGAAGAGTTAGTCTTGGAAACCCACGGGTGGCTGTTCTGCTCTGCCCTGTAGGTTTGCGCTGAGCCAGAACTGACTGGATGGCACTGAGTTTGTTTTGGTTGTTTGGAGGGGTGGAGGAAAAGTTAATGGAAGAAAGAAATCAAGTTTATTGAAATAAACCTTATAATTTGTATAGAGGCTAGAGGACATCTTTTCAGGGACAAAGCCTCAGAGACTCATCTAGGGCCACTCAGCAGTGTGGTGAGCTAAGACCAGAGTAGCAAGTCGCAGTGACCTGTTTTCCCCTCGTCTAATGCCCAGCCCACATTCCCTCCTGTTACCACCACTTCTCCCGGGCAGAACTTTCTGAGGTTGGGGAATCACCTGCAAAACCAAATGCTGATTGGCTGAGGGCCCGCGAGGAACCCTAATCTGGGTCCATTACAGAGTGAGGCGTGAAGCCCGATCTCAGGGGAAAAAGTCAGCTAGGGTTCCAAACACTGGCACTGCAGGGGGTTAGTTCATATTATCCCGCCCCCTTTACATTCAGTGCTCCCCCTGAAGTAGTGAGAGCTTCAGGTCTCTGTCAGGGTCAGGTCATTGTCAAGATTCTCCTTAAGAAGAGAATGGCATGAACAAAGAAACCAAATCCGGGGGGGAATAAGAGTAAAAATAAAAACCCTCTGACGAAACCAAGCCTCTAAATATAGCCTTTCCACTTACCTCAATGCAGATAATTCTAAGATACATATTTCTGATTCTATTCATTCAGCTTAAAAGAGAAAGACCACACTCGGGTACGCTAGGCAGGGTGGTCAGACACATAATGTAATGACAGTGTGCAGAAGCCACTACAGGAAGGCAGTGCTTGGGAACACTGCCAGATTGGGCGGTGGCATAGAGTGGTTGGTTTCTGAGCCAATCCACCGATATTTTCCAAGTATGGACAACTTTTATTGAAATTAAAATAGAAAATGCCGGTCAAGAGCCCACACTGAAAATCCAATTTAGGAAAGATATAACACTGCCCATGTAAATAGAAGGCATTGGGACTTGCTACTCACAATACAGAGAAACTGGCCTTCATGCTGACATCATTTTAGGACTAAGCTAAAAGATCGTCCATCTTTGTAGAAGATCATTTATACGATGTGTGTTTTTCAGGGATGTGCTCGCTAGTGCCTTAAAGACTAGTGAACCACTGGTGTTTTTCTGAGCCATTGGCTTTGTTTGCAATAGAACACTTCTGGAAAAGAAAAATTATAGAGAATCAGCAAGGAACTCTGAGAAATGGATAGTCAATGTAATTATTCATAGAATAAAACTCATGATACCCCTTGCTCCAATCTATCCCCAGACCACTATCTTTCTAAGCGATCGGGTTGTCTTACCTTTGTAAGATTTGAAGCATCACAGGAGAAGGTAGAAGTAAATGAAATTTCATACAGTAACTGATTCATGGAAGAAATGTCTAGGAAGGATGCATTATAATAAACAAGATTTCTCCAAAGATCAGAACTGATGTAGAAGAGAAGTTTCAGGTAAGTGAGCACTGAAATTTTTCTCATGTGCATATTAATTAGGAACGCTCTCTACATTCCCTTTTATGCTTAGAAGATGGTAAAGATGTCAATAGCTACGCGCCCACTGTCTTCTAAATGGGGTTGCCCCTCATATAGATGTTGAATGAATTGGTAGGATGAAGCATTGGCCTGTTAACCATAAGGTTCGCAGTTTAAGCCCCCCAGCTTCTCCGAGAAAGAGTGATAATGCCATTCGTAAAGGTTCACAGCCTCAGAAATCCTCCGCAGCTGCTCTACTCTGACTCAGCAACAGGGGGTTCTGAAATGGTGGAAGGGATACTGGTTTGTGGGGTCCCCAGAAGGATCCTGGTTACTTTGATGCATTCTTTCCTCCTCTCTGGAGAGGGCTCAAAACCTTCCCACTGACCCAGAGGGGCTGCTCATATATTCTGCCCACTACAGTAAGATCAGTTTAAGAAACTTAACAGCAGAAACCAGATCCCACGGTGGCGTTCAACAGTTTGTGTTTCCCAGTTTTGCTAAGTGTGTCTTTTGTAAACACTAAGTGTCATTTGTATAAACCACTATACCTGAATAACATGACCATGATTTTCAGTATCTTTTAGCAGGTGCTTGGTTTACTTACCTGCTTTTGTTTGACACCTAATGTTTCAGGTCTTTGGGGGTTTTTGCTTACTTTTTTGACCAGCCTCATAATTTGAAGGTGTTGCCATCCTGACTTTGTCCAGTGAGAATGCTAGCCAGGGGTTATGATCCCGATCTGCTTCTGGTCACTATGTGAAGTGAAGCTAATCACAGGATTTGGGGAATTGAGAGATTTTCGCCATCATCTGTCAGTACGTTTGGTGTGAAACCAAGTTAAGCTATGTAGAACCCTTCTTGCTTAAAAACTAGTAGACATATATGTTCTTCTAAAATACATACATTATATCTTTTAAACTAATTTAAAAAGAAGCCAAACATGTTGGTAAAATCGTTAGTAAATGATCACACAGATACCAGGAGAGGAAAGGATGCCCCTCTTCAATCAGTACTCATATTAATTAGTGTCATGTAATTAAACAGGTAATTTTTACATTTCAGATAATTCCAAAGACTGTGGGGATTTGTCTCTTTCCTCAACATAACCATGCTCCCGCAGGCCATTTACTACGCAGTATGTGAGGATTACAGTGCCTAGGGAAGGCGATTGTGACCGGCTACTTGTGAGGAGTGGACAGTGAAAACACTTAAGTCAGTGTTTCCCCAGGTGGGCCATACCATCCCCTGGGGGTGGGAGGGCCCGCACAGCAGATATGTACATTTTATCCTGAATTATAGGCTACAGTACAAAAAGTGTTTAATTGCCAGGGGGATACTGAGTAATCCCCTCCCCCTCAAATCAGTGCGGGAACCTATAAAATGACAATAAATGTCATATACATTGATGATAAAAATCATGTAACATGCTAATTTTCAGTTTAAAAAAAACATTGAAGATATGCTTCATGTAATAGCAAGATAGTTGTAAAAGGTCTGCTTTTCAAGAACACACTTCTTCTTCTATCACTGGAAGTTTCCAGTAAGTCTCTTGAAAACCTGAACAAAATTAGGATTTTGTGTTTGTATATTTATAGAAAGAACATATCAAGCCAACAAACTTGATAATCTGGAAAAAAAATAGAAAGGAAAAAAGTGTTCTTATTTCAAAGGTTCAAAAATAAAAGTTATTTACTATGCAGATCTAGACATCTTGTTAAGTTGTTTTTGAGAGCGCAAATTAGAAAAACATGGCCACAGTTAAAGGTTACTCAATCGGGTTGAAGCTGGGACTTTTATTCCAGCAGCTCCAGCCCTCCAAATTATATCTGATAATGTCCTAAAGTCTAAACATATTTTAGTTCAAAAAGGTACCCAGCTCTTAGGTATAAAATGGCACTAAGCTTCCTAATAGGAAGGCTGTATTTGTGCCCAGCATAATCTACCACCCAGTACCTCTGATTTCTAATATTCAAAGACCTGAAACTCGGAGCGAGAGGGGTTGCTTTTCAGTTTCCTGTGCATAATCACCGGAGAGGGGCATTAATAAAAGGGCCGGTGCCTTGGCCGGTGCTGAGGCCTATTATTTAGCCAGAGTCATGGCAACCAGAGCCAAGCTGAGTCCGAATGAGAGCAACATAATTTCAGTCTGGAGGGTGCAGGAAGCAAGTGCCAGCAGCCGCAAGGAGGGAAACGACCCAGCCTGTTGAAAGTGGTCTCTGCCCTTGAAGACCAAGCACAGCACCTTCCTTTCTCAACAATGTAAATCACGTCGGCCGTCAGGTTTCCCCACACCAGCTAGCACGAAAATTATGATCTGTCAAGCGCGATGGCGGCCGTAAATGTAAAGTGAGAGGAATCTCATTGAGCTGCATTTCCGGGAGAGGAAGGCGCATGAAATGGTAGTGCTGGGAGGATGGCCCTGTGGGTGGGCAAGCACATGCTTGCTGCTGAGCAGAGGAAGTGGTATACCATGATTTCTTCATGAGTGTGAGGGCTTTATAAACTCATCCGCATGGGGACGGTTTTAAATAGAAAGAAGATGACACACAGTCCCCAGCGAGGCTTCTTAAAACTCAGAGGAGGGTTGCCACTTTTTCCAAACATTAGGTTACTCTGGGGGATTTCCTCCCCCTTCTCCCCACCACCAAATTTTAACAATTCTGCTTTTTCAGTGTGGTTTTTCCTCTCCCTAGAAGAAAGATGTCGTGCAGCATGGCTATCTTTGGTCTTGTTGGAGATGTAGGCTGTTTTTACTTTGCTGACTCCTACCTGACAGTGGAAGACATATTCTGGTGTGGTTTTCTTAAACTTCATGTTCCAAACCAACGCTACTCCATCTGGCTCATGAGGGGCGTCTTCATTGTTGTTGTAGGAAGCAACCATCAGCTCAGGGTACTAAGTGCAAGAAATCACAAGGACAGATCATGTCAAGAGGCTAACACACATGCTGAATTCCTGCACACACATGCTGATACCATTCGCTACCTCACTCTGGTTTCTGTCTCCCACATGCCACTGGTGCTTGCCATGGGCATCAGTGACTACAAGCACTGCCGGGCCTCTCTGCATGACCGATCCTTTGAACGACCCCCTTTCTCCTATTACGCTGCCGAGTGCATCCATGACATCTCCCTCTTCCTGATTTTCTTCCCTAATCATCATCCTTGGTCTCCCTGCATTCTTTTTCTCCGATCTATCTGCAAAATGGCAGTATTCCACAGGGAACTGTTCTCAGCGCTCTTGTTTGTTTGTTTGTTTGGTTTTTGCCACTACACATTCTCCTTGGATGACCTCACTCACTCCAGTGACATTGACATGTTGGTCATTTTCAAATCTCAGCTTGATTTCTCTCCTAGTTGCCTTCTACTGAGATTTCTCACACTGTTCATAGGCATATCGGACGCAGAACATAAAACAAACAAGCACACCCTCCACACAATACACTCTCTCCTTCCTTCCAGTGTTTCTGATCTCCATGCCTTGCACTGACAGTCACGGAGCTGTCCAGGCCAGGCATCTCGTGTTCGTTCTTATTTCTTCCTCTCTCTCACCTCCACATGCTGTGTTCTGCTACTCCCTCAATACTGTTCACATGTAGGTTTTCTTTCCAGTTTTAGGATTGGAGCCTCCTAAGCAAAGTTCTTTTCTGGATGAAGGTCATAGCCTCTGAATGGCTTCATGCTTGTTGGCTCACCAGGCTCCACCTCCTGCACTTTCCATCTTTTGACAAGATGACTTTACAAAATATACATTTGGGGTGTACACTACCCGGCTCACAATACTTCAGTGGCTCTCCATTACTTTCAAGACAAACAAAATCAAGGTCATGTAGGATCCTTCATGATCTGTTATATTCTACCACCCCCTCCCACTCCTATGGTCCAACTTCACAGGGCTAGTTGCGAAGGATCCAGGATTAGCCTCGGCACCTGTGAATCTGAAGCTTTCATTGAAATGTCTCTCCTATGCTGTTTGCAAAGACCGGTTCATCCTTTAAGACTCAGTGCTCTCATCAACGTCTCCGGCCAACCCTAACTAACCATCCAAATTCCCTTGCCTCTTCTGGGCCTCATTTGCATTTTAAGCATCTCCCTATTTTGCGTTTACTAAATTGTATGATTTTGTATTGTAATATTTTTCTTTTTGAGTGTAAGGATCCTGCCCCCACCCCCCTACTCTCCCTGCTCCCCCTGAATGCTGGTACAAATGCTCCATCTAATTTGAGTAACTTGGTGCTTGGTGCAAAGGCCTAGTTTTTAATCATTTGTTGCTGATCAATGCCAATAATTAAAGGCTTACGTTAAAGAAACACTATCAATGAGATAAAAAGGTAGGTTCCACCGTCAGGCTAGTTGTTAGACATGCCTACTTACTCTACATCAACTGTGTCGTGAATACTGTTACATAAACTGAAGGTGAGTCTGTGGGAGGCACTTCTAAGCTAGAGCACATTTCATGAACACGCCATTCCTACCTGGGCTTCCCACAGGTGCCCCCTGCACAGGGCCCCGGGACAGTGGGAGACCACGGCACTGTCTTCTCCTCGATTCTGTATTTGTTTGCATTGTGTTGTGCACATATTTGTTAGGAGAAAGCCCTTATACAGTTGAAAACTGACTTTATTTTGCCTATCAAAATGAATTAAAACAATATTTTCGATGTAGCTTTCTTTATTCATTCTTTCAGCATCCTCAACTTAAGAGAGCTGCAGACAGTTGACAACTTGCTAGTTGGTGGAGAGGAAGTATAAGCGTGTAATCATACACATGCATGTGGTCACCAAGGGAAGCAATCATTCTTTATTAGAAAACACTTCTCAGCAGATGAATCAAAGGTCCATTAAGAAGGGCCTTTGATTCAAAGCCCATTCAACGAAACTAACATCCAGATAAACACAGTAGTCTCCAGACGGTCCATCTGAAGTTTAACCATGTCACATGTGAAAAGGCAACTCTATAAACATTGACACGGCTACCACAGGGGCCAATGAGCAGCCAGATGTGTGTGGAATAATACCCCACAGCTTCACATCTGGGTCTCATCGTTGGCACCCACTTGCAGCTTTTCTTTTTCCATTTTAAGAATATTTAAAATTATTTGGCTTTTAAAGCTTCTTTAGAAAACAGGGAGCATTTTAGTAGCATACCAGTGGAATGCCTTTGGGGGTAGTATCTGTAGCTGGGATCTTAAGACCTCAAGAACCTGATTTAAATACTATTTTCTGCAAGTTTTTATGATTTCAAAGCCTCCTTCAGTGTATCTTCTTTCATTGTTTGTTTGTCTCAACATGCTTCAGCCATATTTTCTTACTCTCCAATAACAGCACCCTCTCAACTATTTCGACCTTAAGTGTTGTGAAAAAAATTTATGATTTTAAGGAAACCATGAATAATTATGAAATTTGTGATCATTTGATTACACGAGGGCTGGATTAGCCAACATGTTAACACAGGGGAATTTTGTCTAGAAATTTCCAGCTCTGCTTTCAAGCCTGCAGTGGTTTTAAAGAGAAATAGAATCTGGCTTTTATGGAAGGGAAAGAGAAAAGCCCAACATGTTTTAATGCCCGTTTATGTGCCAGATACCGGGTTGAGAGAGACTCGCATGTTACCTCCTTTGGTCCATGAGACCCTGTGAAGGCATCTCAGGTTAAGCCACGGATGCAAGAATTCAAAGCCAGATTGCTATTAAGTGATGGAGTGAAAAGCCTGTTGGAATTCTGTTCGGATTCAAAGGTCACATTCTTTGCTGTCCACTATGGCATGCGTCACGTGACTGGTAGGCATATGTAAGGCACCATGCCAGGTGAAATGCGGGATAAGAATGTCAATAATAACACGCTGTGTCTATAAGAACTCACCATTACGTAGAGAGAGGTCAGACACCAGTACAAATAACTACAATCGAAACAAGAAAGCAGGAAACAATACGTCCTAAGAAGGAAGAATGAGCAGTTCTATAGAAATGCAAAGGAGAAAAATAATCACTTGCATGGAGGTTGAGTAGAGTAGGGGGAGGAATTGGAAGTGGCATCTGAAAAGAAACTGGATTTGAGTTGGACGCTGGCCAATAGGGAAGTAATAAGAGAAGAAAGTATGGATAAGGATACAAAGATGGGTATAGAGGATACAAAGACGAGTACAGAAGATTTCTTCTCTTGGATATCTGCCTGGTTGACAGTGATATCCCCATCTTTGGAGAGTGCCCCGATACGTAAGTGTCTAGTTTCTCCAGGATAATTCATGGATTAACGATGATATGAACACTGACACAAACGGGGTCAATCACACTCTGTAACCTAGCTCTTGTCCATTTTGAACTGAGACACATAACTGGTGGGCTGGCAAACAACTCAGGCTGGTCAGTGGCAGCATTCTATTGGTGAGATCCTTCTTGATGCTCTTCATGGATCACAGGGAGAGAAGAAATACTCTGTTCAAAGAATACGCTGGCAATGGTGCGTAAAAGGATTCAACAGAGTAGAGATCAGAGGTAGGGAGACCACCTGGGAAGTTCTTCTTTTGAACCAACGAAGAAGGAGAGGGCATGCTACAAAGAGGTAGAGGACAGGTCCAACCTATGTTAATAGATTTGTATCGGTGACCTTGTCAGTCTTGTTTGCTGTTGTAACATTGACTGGATTTAGCAAACTAAATAAGTTGTCAAAGAACATTGGGGTTTGACTTTGGACATCTGCAAGGCTAGTAGACTTCATTTACATAGGCGCAGACTTCATTTACATAGGAGCAGAATATATCTGGTGGAAAGAAGATGAGTCTGGTTTGGAAGACTTCTGGCAAACCTGTCATGTAATGTGTGTGTATAATCATTGATTCGTGGTGTTAAACAATGTTCGGTGAATGGGAAATTTCACACGTTCTCCAGATACACAAATCTCTACCAAGGAATAATTTTTGGCTGATCTTTTGCAAATATTACAAGGTGAAAGTGGTCTGTTCTTAGAACAAGCTGTAGAAGATGTTCATTTCTACCCTCTATTCTGTTCTTTTCCACTCAAGGAAACCATCCTAGGCAGCCATGTACCACTGGTCTCTGTCCCTCTCGTCTTTCTATCACTAAGCTACATCTAGATCTATTTAGAAAGTCTCTCTTTTCCCATAGCCTCATCAAGCTGGCCTTTGGACCTTCCAAAGGTGTTGTGATGTAGCAGCCAAGGGCTCTAATTCCTTTGTCTTATGCCCCCTATTAAACACCACTGTCAGAATTGCAAGCCTCTTCTCCACAGGGTTGGTGGACAGGATGAGAAAAAAAAGTGCTCTCTCCATAGTGGCATTTCAACTTTGCCTAGGTCCACGTCCCGCAGCAGAATAATCACATAGAACCCCATGCCGAATTAAATCATGGGTAGCAGGGCTCATCACTCGCAGAGGCCCAGCAGGGACCAGCCTCACCGTGGACTTGCCTTGCTGCCTCTCCAGGGAAGTTTATCAGCCTCCTGGGCAAGGCAGTAAAAGTTGCCTTTGAGGAATGTGTCAGATAAGGCTCCTGTGTAATTTCCCGACTCCGAACAAGTGAACCATCTGTGCTAAGTGTTTCCTGAGGCTTGGATCTGATTTCTGTGCACACACTTGAGTGCTCCCAGACCACCCACACACTGGCAGGAAGCACAGGGCAAATTGGCTGGTAGAAGTCACGGCAGAATCAGATCGTGCACTGCATGCCTGGTTGTTCGGGTGCACAAGGAGGTTCAAGAGCGCAGGACTCTCACCCACTTGGTAGCTGATGACAGCTGAGTCGTGTGGTATTGCGATCCTCTTCAGTGCTTCTGTAGAGTTCAATAGCGCTCTTGATTTCCCTCATAGCTACCCGTGTCTCACAGCAGTAAACAGTGCTCGGCCCTGCAGCAGCCTCACAATCACTGCTGTTTGAGTTTGCAGCTCATCGAGGGATTCCCTCTTGTTCACTGAGTCCCTCCCAAGCATGCCATCTTCTTCACTGACGAGCCACGGACAGGACACCATCGAGATACAGACAAATAAACAGAGCATCCTCTTCTCCCTGCATTTGTCTAAATCCTAGGTTGCTCAGAAGTGCTGTGTGATCAGAGGCAGATCCTAAACCTGGCCGATCACTGAGAGCACTCACTGTTTGCCCCATGTCATTGGCACTTCCAAGCTTCCTGGTTTCCAATTCATAAGTCCTTTGCTGCAAGTAGTGAGTAAAAGTATATGCCTTGAGGGCTAAAAGATTTGCATTCAAATGTGCTGCTCTGCCACCTCCTAATGGAATGACTTTTAGCAAGATACTTAGCTTCTCTGCGCCTCCCTTTCCTCACCTACAGAATGTAAGTAATAATAATAATGATAATCATAACAATTGTTATGAGAGTGAATGACGTAATGCCCTCAGAGCACCCACTTAGCATGTAAGAAGCATAAAGTAAAAGTAGCTATGATTATTATTCCCAATAAAAGTACAGGCGCAAGACCACAGACACTGTGCTGGGTATAAGTGTCCAGAAATCATACATTAGGTTGACTGAAAAACAGGACCAGCATCTTCCAGGGGGCATCCTCAGAATCTGAGATTCTCTTTCCCAAGAAGGGGAACATTTTTCTATGTGCAGATACCAGGTACTATCTACAATGGCAGCAAGGCTGAAGCACTGAAGCCCTACCACAAGGCCATGCCCATCTTTATGAGAAAGATTCTAAAAGAGGATGTATGCTGTGCTGGATGCCCCAACCCCCATTTGGGTGTGCCTCAAACAGACTCCTGAGAGCTCACATTGACCAGGCCAGGTCCCCTCTCAGAGAAGGGGACTAGCTCTTCAATAACTCTCCACACACCCACACCTATGGCACAGAAGGTCTTTACTGAGCCATCTAGGGCCTCCTTAGCAATATTTCTTCCTGGTTTTCCTCTCTGTTTCATGACCTAGGAAATCATCTTGGTGACACATGCCATCGGTCCTTCTGAGGCTTACAAGCATTTCTGCTTCCCTCATTATTATTATGCCTCTGACATTTCCCAACCCACTGAAAACAAACAAACAAACAAACAACACTGCTATTGAGTCAACTCTGACACAGAGCAATCCTGTAGAAGGTTCCTTAGGTTGCCAGTCTTTACGGGAGCAGAGAGCCTCCTACTTTCTGGGGGTACGAATATGGGCTCAGAATTAAACCACTTGGGTTCAAATTCTGGCCACGTCACAACAAGGGTGCGGGCATTTGTGCACACGTGGTGCTTGGCAGGTGGGCTGCTGTTGAGTCAACCAACTCCCGGATACCCTTTACAGATCAGAGCAGATACAATCCTCCAAAGGGTTTTCAATGGCTGACTCTTTACAAGTTGATCACCAGGTCTTTCTTCCAAGGTGGACTTGAACAATCAAACTTCTAATTACTAGCCACTTGTAAGACCCAGAGACTATAATGCTTATCATACACCAAACCCAACCCACGCCCATCAAGTCGATTCCAACTTATAGTGACCCTATGGACGTGGTTTAACTGCATCTTTGGGTTTTAGGAGACTGTATATTTTCATATGACCAGGACAGCTGGTAGACTCACATATGCTGACCTCGGGGTTGCCTGTTCCATGTAATGACCTATGAGACAACTGTGTTTCTCAGAGGACTAACGCTGTGCACGGGATGAGGTGGCTATTCAGCAAATATGCCTGCTTTCACTCTGAGTTATGCACTAAGGAATTTACTAGATATAAGGTAATTGAAACTTTTAATCCAGGGAGTGAAATGATTAGATCTGCATTTTATTTAGCATGATTATTTGGATAGATAGGTGACCAGAGGAAATATCAAAGGTAGACACATGTGGAGAGGGAGACACCATTTAGAAGGACAATAATATTACAAGTAAAAGCCAACGAGGCCTTACATTAAGATGTATGAGAAGGTTTAGCAAGGATGGGACTTGAGGAATATGTAAGCAGAAAATAGTTTTAGTGGCAGACTGGCTATGGAAGGCAAGAAAGTGGAAGTTGGCAGTGTTCATTATGGAAGTTCAGCTTTAGCTCCTTGGGTATACTGTGCACTTTTAACACAGAGAAAACATAATATGGGGGAAAGGGTTCGGGACATGTGAAAAGAATTTGTCACATTTTCTACATAATTAGAGATCTCATGAGAAACCTGAGTCTGAGCCGTCTGTCTGATATGCAAAGTGGACTCCAAGGGAGACCAGGGATGTTATAAACAAGTGGTGCTGTGATGGCTGAATTCACAGGGATCAAGGAGACCTCCCATGAGAGGATTTGGGAGAGAAGAGCAGAGGTATACTGCAAGAGGGAGGGGTTATGAGTGAATAGTAGGAGATGCTACTAGAATTACAGAGCAGTCAAGGACGATGAACACTTCAACATATCTACTGGATTTGACGATTAGGAAATCTTCGGTGACCTACTGTGAGGCCTTGTTCAATGTCAAGTTTCTACCAAAGAGAAGATATTCAATACATACAAATGGTTGAGTAGAAAATTTCGACAAAGAACTCAATAAAATAAGAAAGAAAACCAAAAGGCTCAGAGAAGAACAGTGTAGGTTAGTAAACCTATATGGGGTAGTGGAACAAACATCATTTATACATATATACACATTCATATATAATTATATTTATTCAGCTACAGCATTTCCCCCAAACCTAGTTTGTCTCATCCCAGCAGTATTTCTTACCTGGAGAGACCAGTCCATACAAGTGACCACCCGATGCTTGGACCAATGTTCATCATAGAACTGACGACTGAAAGAAAGGTTGGCTCCAGCTTGAACATCCCTGGGAGGATTTAAACACCAGAGACAAACGTGAGGATTCAGAACGCGGCTTTATCACTCTGCTGTTCATCACGAAACAGAGAAATGGCAAAATAATATTCCTCTGAGATGGAACCATCGAGTCCAGCAGAAAACACTGATCACAAATGATCTAAAGATCTCTCTTTTTTATCTTATGGGAAACCCTTTCTAATTCATAGTTTATGTGCGGTTCCAAGCCTGGTATGGAATGCTAACATTTTTTAGGTTCTTTCTTGACCATTCTGAATCATTTTCTGCTCCCAGGAGGCTTTAACATGAAGCAGGGGATATGAGGATGCTCACAGTGATGGGTGCCAGAAGTGTACCTCAATAGCACCTCAATTGGCCTTAGACCAGGAATAACATGCATGCCTTTATTTACCTGCAAATTCTGGGTGACTACAGTGACTGCCTTTTGGACCAATAGAAAACTATGATTTCTGTTATGAGTGTTATGGTAGGAATGGGGAGGGGGAGGCACATCAAACATATGATTTGCTTTCCATTCCTGCCATAGGTCAAATCAGAATTTGGGTTTAAGAGAATCACACTTTTGGCCAAAATTACTAGACTGACATTTAACTCTTTGTACAAGTCATTCAGTAGCACCAAAGGACCAAGTGTTTACGGTGAACACTGCGTGCCATATGCCAGTAGCTATCAGATCTGCATACAATGCTGCCCAAATTGCTGGGACTTCCATTCAGGAATTCTTCTATATTCATTTTTTGTCTGTTCATTTACTTCTTTCCTCATCTCCTTGTGTTGAACATCGAATCACTTGCCTGAGTTAGCTCTTGCTCAGACTGTGTGACCTAGCTTCATAATATTTACTTGATCTCTAATAAGTAGACATTTTAAGACCTTTCTTTCTTTTTTTTTAAATTCCTCCCTGGTAAGCTTCCTCAACTCCAACATTGGAAACTCAGACTATAGACATGTACCCAAGTCCGGTGTGGAACTTAAGGTAACACTTGGCCAAATACCTGGAGAGAAATATGACCCAGAAAATCAATCAAGTGAAGGACCCCTTAAAATAATACAAACATTATAGAGCTTATCTATTTCAAACATTTGTGTCTCTTCAAATTAGTCTAAAGATGATGCCAAGTTTTGAGAATATTTCCAGAACTCCCTTTTCCAATTATTTTTAGAGCCATTGTTACATCCATTTGAGCATCCTCTGTGATGAGATGGCTTTATCCATCAAGAATGTATTTAATTTTCACAAAGAATAAAAAATTGTCAGAGAAGAGCTAGTAATCTTACCTATGCCTATCATTCTTGGCTTAAAGAAATGGGTGGCTAAAGAGCAGCTTGTGTATTTTTTAAAATAAAGTTGTAAGATGGTTTTCTTACCCCCCTGGAAATGGTTGAGAGTCATTGCTTGCCGGTGTGTACATTATGTTCACAGAGGAAGCCATGTGGACCATCTATTTTTATTGATCAGTGTTTTGCCTAAATCTGCGAATATATATTGGTACCTAAGGCTTTGAAAAGGCACAAACACAATAAACATATCAAAAAGAAGAAAAGGTTCCATTCTTTGCTTGCTGTTTGCCACATCAATTGAGAACTCTCATATCTCATGTTTGTTTTCTTTAGCTTCCTGTTTGCTAGACATCAAGAATAAATCTCGTAGATACAATAAAAATTTCCTTTTGCTGCTTACAAACATGTTTCTCAGAGGGACAATGTCCATGACACTGACAAGGGGGAAAATGTACAGATGGCCCTGTCACCTGGACCGTTCCAGATATTAAATTCAAAAGCATTTCCCTAAAAGCCAGAGTTTAAACCAAAGCATGTCATGAAAGCCCTTCACCAAGATCAGTCCTGAAATTGCAGGACTGATGTCTGATGTCATTCCATAAGTGATTTTAGCATCAATACATAAAGTATAACACTATTTTTCAACAATGCATATGAAAAACTAACCCATCTTTTTCCTCTAACTCTCGGCCGCTGTAGTCAAAAAAGATGTCGGAGTCTTCGGCCAATGCTCGTTCAATGACCCTTATTGTGCGATCGAAAAAGACGAGGAACTCCTCTGAATGGAGGGTCTGCTGTTTCTCTTCCTCTGTCAGCTCCCTGGGCGGGGCTTGTAATGTAAACAAGAGATTGTTAGGAGAGAGGAGTGGCAATTAAAACTTCTCAAGAGGAAGCCAACTCTTCAAAGAGAGTGAATGTAAAAGCTTATCAAAGGAGTGATAAGGCACTGTAAAATAAGAAACCATTGAGAGTTAATATCAATTCTAAACGATTCTCTAATTCATAACACAAGCTTGTGTTGATGTCTCCATGGCCACAAAGATAGAAAACATTTCGTATCTGGCTCAATTATTATTGTGATGAGTTGGGAAAAAATACTACAAATGAAAATTGGTTGATGCTTTAGTTTTCAGCAGTCAGTTCTGAATATTATTTTCTTTCAAAGTTAATTGAAAAAATTTAAATAGTACATAAGAGAAATCTATACAACTATACATACAGGTCTTAGATATTATAAAACTGTGATATTTAGCAATTAAGAATGATGTATAAAAAGATCCAGCTAGTACTTTACCTTTTTCTATTGGTTAAATTCATTTATTTCTATGGTTTATCTGTAAGGCTGACTGATTTTACATAAGTTCCACTCAAGCTGAAAGATGTCCTTCCACACCCTCTTCATTTAAGCCACAACGTGAGATTTTTAAATAACACAAAGAATAAACAAGTACTGCAGATTGATTTTATTCCTTAATTTTCTAGCATTATTGATCCTTTCGAGCTAAATTAGAGGATTCGCACTGATGTCTGAAAGTTAGTTCACCTCAGTCATGATTCAGCAACTCCACTGCACTCCACTCACTGTCAATGAGCAGATTCCAAACCAGAGACCCTGTGGGGCGCCGTCGGACTGCCCCTTGGGGGTTGCCAAGGCCGGGCATCTTTATGGGACCAGGAAGCCTCTTCTTTTTCCTGTGGAGCACCTGATGGGTTCAAACAGCTAACCTGGTGGTCAGCAGCTTGCTACACTACCATCCAGTCCATTTTGACTTCTAGAGACAGTAAATTTTCACAGGAGTAGAAAGCCTCATCTTTCTCCTGCAAAGCAGCTGGTCGTTTCAAACTGCTGACCTTGAAGTTAGCAGCCCAATGTGTAAGCAGTATTCAAGTTATTCCTTAAATAGCAGATTTTCCAAAAATTATAGTGAAATAATTAGTAACTTCCACAGACTGATAATGCCTCAAGGGCAAAAGCTGTCAGGTGAAGCTCTGTGGTTCTGTAGGGAATTCAGCTCGTAGCAGGTCTTCAAGTATCAGACCATGCAAACACCAGTCTAGACAATCCTGAGACCAGAACAACCAGCCAGTGCCAGGCTGCCATCAATCACTGCTCAGAGGTGATCACTTTAGAAGGCCCAGGAGAGAGTGCAGAAAAATATGGAACAAAACTCAAAATCATAAAACAGACCAGGCTTACTGGTCAGATAGAGACTAAGGGGTCCTTAAGTTCAGGTCTGGAACAAAATTCACACCTTTGTTAGAATAGTCAACCATTTAAAACCAAAAGGGCAGAATGTACCTTTACTCATGGAAAACACAAACACACACACACCACCACCACCACCACCCCCCCCCCCCCCCCCCCCCCCACCCCCACCCCCCAAATAACAAAAATAAACAAAGAGTTGATTGATTACTCTTTCAGTGGAAAGAAAGGGTCCTATTAAGTGAAACAAAAGGGGTGCAGTTCAGTCCTGGTGGTTTCCCTGAACACTTCCTAATATTTCCAAGCCAACCCTTAGAACCATGACAGTTGTTTCCCTGCTACATGGTTAAAGGAATCTTTAAAGTACAGCTACCTATACTGTCCTTTAAGCCATCATGTCTTATGGAAGCAACATTTAATCACATTAATTGTATCTCCAAGCCCTTGTCCAGAGAAACCCGAACTGTTCAAGAGGTCCTTCTGCAGAGACTTGGGAGTGGACCCCATACTTTGAGCACTTACAGTGCCCCTCCCCTTTCTGCCTCCCTGGCCCTGCCCGAGGGTTACAGGAGGGTTCGAGAATCTGTATTTGGACAAGACACGAGGATGCTCCTGATGTAGTTGGTTTGCATCTTCGGAAATGCTCTCCAGAAATAACATTATAACAGAATATGATTCATCAACAGGGACAGAAGACTTTCTCTAGAAATAGTCCAATCCATTGTTTCGAGTGACCTAAATATGCCCTCCTTGGGCACCTTCCAGTCTGCTCTCACTCAAACATTGCTTAGTCCTGCAACAGCTTTGTGATTTCTGTTAGCCTTTGATTTATGGTTGCAACCCCTTATCTAGGTCTTCCTCTTTTTTTGCTGTCCCTCTACAAAACATGATGTCCTTCACCAGGGACTGGGTTCTACTGATACTGTGCCCAAAGTATGAGAGACAAAGTCCCCCACCCTCACTTCTAAGAAATGTTCTGGTTGTATGTCTCCCAAGGTAGATTTTTTTATGTTCTTCTAGTAGTCCATAGTACTTTCAGTCTTCTTTGTGAAGACCATAATTCAAATGCATACATGCTTCCGTATGCATTTTCCAGTTTTCACATGCATATGAAAACAACGGAAAGACTATGGTCAGACTTACTTTACCACTCACAGTGATCTGTTCCTTAATACTTTAAATAGGTCTTATGCAGCCAATTTGCCCGATATGCAATTTCTTGATTGCTGCTTCCATGAGTGTTGGCTGTTGATCCAAGTAAAATGAAATCCTTGGCAACTTCAAACATCTCTCCCTTTAGCATCATGATGATTATTGGTTCAATTGTGAGGACATTTCTCTTCGTTACATTAAGGATTGTAACCTTTGACCTAAGTATACTGAGGATTGTAACCTTTGATCTTCTAAGTATTTCTTTTCTTTTTAAAACATTTTATTGGGGGTTCTTACACCTCTTATAACTATTCATACATCAATTGTATCAAGCACATTTGTACATATGTTGCCATCATCCCTTTCAAAGCATTTATTTTCTACTTGAGCTGTTGGTATCAGCTCACTTTTCTCCCCCCATTCTCTCACCCTCATGAACCCTTGATAAATTATAAATTATTATTTTCATATCTTACACCATCCGCTGTCTCCCTTTACTCATGTTTCTGTTGTTCGTCACTCTGGCTGGGGGGGTGGTGGTTAATACGTTCATCATTGCTATCAGTTCTCCCTTTCCCTCCCACCTTCCCCCTACGCTCATGGTATCACTCCTCCCACTATTGTTTCTGAGGGGGTTGTCTGTCCTGCATTCCATGTGCTGAGACCTCTTATCTGTTCCAGTGTATATGCTCTGGTCTAGCCAGATTTGTAAGGTAGAACTGGGGTCATGATAGTGGAGGGAGGAAGCATCAAAGAACGAGCGGAAGGCTGTATGTTTC